GTGTGGCCTTATGACACACTTCCGGTGATGTCAGGGGGTGTGGCCTTATGACACACTTCCGGTGATGTCAGGGGGTGTGTGTGGCATATGCTAATGAGTTATGCCAATGAGTTCCCCTAGCTTTTTTTCTACGAAACGACCCCTGGTCATCGGGTTGCTTGGCGAGGCAGCTGTCTGGCTGGCATACGACTTCTGCGCGACACAAATCACTTCGCACAACAATGCCAGTGACCTCGGGTGGGATCCGACCAGCTTTCCAGAGGCTCCCCTTTGACCATTCATAAGCCTTCTGCTGGTGATCCACGGGGCCTATGAGGATAAAAGCTATACAGGATGGGGGCTCTTGTAAGAGGAGAACTGGGTCTGCGTGAGAGAGCTGGCTGGATCCCACCCACACTTTCTGTAAACTGAGCCAAGGAAATCTGCAATTTCCCCCTGAAATAGTCCCAGCAAGCTCAGCCCCTTACCTGCTTTGCGTGTATCAGTGGAAGCGGCAGCGGGAGTAGCATCCCTTACTAGATCCAAATTGGTCTCATCTCTTCCTTCCCGTTCTTCAGGGATGACCATGCTGGCCTTCTCTCTGAAACGGCACAAACGGGGACATGTTCAGGACAGCTTCCCACTGTGAACAATTCAGGTCTGAGCTGCAATGTTCCCTCTAAGCTGTGGAGTCTTGTGAGCAGAAATTCTACTTTGTGAGCTGCTGGCACTAAAGTTGTGAGCGAGCGATTTGGCCACTGCATAAATTAGTTTGCTCGGGAGCCCTCCTCCTGAGCTAAGACAAAAAAACTGTGAGCTGGCTCACACCCACTCAGCTTAGAGGGGACACTGCTGAGCAGTCTGACGCTATAGCAGAGAGGCCAATCTCACACTTGCCACAGAGTCATACAAAAGGCTGCATGTACCCCATGTAGCAACAACAACACCAAGGGTAATTGAGCCCTGTGGTCGGCACCAGTTCGGACAATCAAGCACATACACCTGAGCCACAGAAGAACAGGTCAGCCAAATCAGACCCAAGTTCCTCTAGTTCAGTATCCCGTTTCCCGACAACATAGGTCTCAATCGAGCCACGCTTGCTTACAGCTGTGGACAGAGCTCCGTCCTCCATCAATGTTTCCAGAGCCCCTTTCAGCCAATTGCTTCATCTTGTGCCAATGACTTTAGTGTGCACGGGGTTTACCACCAAGTATCTCATGGCACAATTTTGTGAGTTCTCGGATCTCTATCACTGGAAAGACTGGGAACGGAACCTCGGATCTTTCGCAAGCAAAACACGTGCTCGGCCACTGAGCCACTGCCGTCTCCTGACTGCAGATGGGAAAACTGAAAACAGAAGTGTTGACAATGGTTTTGGTGGCATGATATCTGTACGTATTACCAGGATATGGAAGAATCATGTCTGTGTGCCAGCAGAGGGAAATATTATTCATCCAAACACCCCTGGATTTCCATGTGGTAGGTGCGTGTGTGGATTCATTTTTATCCGGGCAATACTTGGCTTGCCAGCTATAGGTAAAGGTAAAGGTTCCCTTGCTCGAAAGCCAGTCGATTCCGACTCTAGGGTTGTGGTGCTCATCTCCGTTTCAAAGTCAAAGAGCCAGCGCTGTCTGAAGACATTTCCGTGGTCATGTGGCCGGCATGACTAAACACCAAGGCGCATGGAACGCTGTTACCTTCCCACCGAAGTGGTCCCTATTTATCTACTTGCAGTTTCTTGCTTTGGAACTGCTAGGTTGGCAGGAGCTGGAACTAGAGACGGGAGCTCACTCCGTCATGCGGCACTCGGGTCTCGAACTGCTAAACTACCGACCTTCCACAGCTTGCAGTTCAGCGTCTTAACCACTTAAGCCCCGCAGCTCCTTTGCCAGCTATAGTCTTGTCTTAAAGCACTGCCTAATCAGACCCCCTGGACAAAACAAGGCTGGAGATCAGCCACCCTATCCTGTGCGGAAAGGTGACTTAAAAAAAATCTCTCCTTATATATAATTGAATAGTGGGTGCCAAAGTTCTAATTCTAAAATGCACTCCCTTAGTGTATGGCTGATGGCACTGCTCCTCAGCATATATCGCCACCAATCAGAAGGCAAAGCCCGCCCACACCACAACTGCTGCGACAACCTGGTCTTTTGCATATGGAAGCTGACTGGACTTCAGTCCATTCCACACCTCAAACTCCCCCCACCCACGCAAGGCAGTTGGGATTTTCAGTTGCATAACATACCTCATAGGGGAGAGGATAATGGATAACAATGGTTACCACTCTCCAGGTGAGGGCTACAGATAACTCAAACATACAAATGCTCTTCAGGTAGCAGAGACCAGTCCCTCCGGAGAAAACAGTGGACTCTGTCATTAAACCCTGCTGAGGTCGCCACAGGAAACTGACACTGTTTGCCCAAAGCCAGAGCACTCTCCCAGAGCCTCTTTCTAGATGCCGTTGTATTTATTTCCGCAACGGGCATTATTTCTAGTCATTATATAATACAAGAACCATCTCACACAGTACTGAGCTCTTTATACAAGCTGCTACCTTGGTAACATTGGGGGGGGGGGAGAACCCAGAAACTGCATAGCAACAAAGCTTTTTTCAAATCTCTAACCAGAGTCACAAATTCTTCAGCAGCGAATGGGCCATGCAATCTCCCTGATGCTGAACAAACAAGAAGGCTGCTCTGTAGCAGCTGGAAAAGCTACTGGACGACACATCACGCTTTGCTGAAAAAACAAAGCCGGCTGAGGTCTGCGATGCTTGTATGCAAGCTGCATGTTACCGAATGAGTTTCTCGAATGCTTCCTTTTCCTTCCTTAAGGTGGTCAGGTAGCGCTGCTCTTCCGTTGACCCTCCGTATATAAGGAAGTAAACCCTGCAAGGCAAAACACAAAGGTATCTCCCAACATGCAAGAGCCCACGCCTCCAAATACAAGAAAACTGCTATTTTTTGTCCTTAAAGGTAAAGGTTCCCTTGCTCGAAAGCCAGTCGAGTCCGACTCTAGGGTTGCAGTGCTCATCTCCGTTTCAAAGCCGAAGAGCCAGCGCTGTCCAAAGACGTTTCCGTGGTCATGTGGCCGGCATGACTAAACACCAAGGCGCACGGAACACTGTTACCTTCCCACCGAAGCGGTACCTATTTATCTACTTGCAATGTCTTGCTTTCAAACTGCTAGGTTGGCAGGAGCTGGAACCAGAGACGGGAGCTCACTCCGCCATGCGGCAACCCGGGTCTCAAACTGCTGAACGACTGACCTTCCACAGCCTGCAGTTCAGCGTCTTAACCACTTGTCCTTGTTTATAGGTAAATTTGACATTATGGATTTAAGTTGCAGTTTTCACAAAAAAAGCACTTTAGCAAACACTAGGAACATCTGCTTGTCAGGACCCACAGTCAATCACTTCAGCACACACTGGAATGCCAGGCCTATCGTTACAGTCCCAGGACATATCTCCTACCCCCCTGGGTTGTCATTCTACTCTGGAGCCAGTTATTCCAGTCCCAGAACACTCCTGCTAACCCCCAGGGACTGTCATTCCACTCTGGGGCCTGTCATTCCAGTCCCAGAACACTCCTGCTATGCCCAGAGGCTGTCATTCCACTCTGGGGCCTGTCATGCCAGTCCCAGGACACATCTCCTACCCTCCTGGGCTGTCATTCCACTGTGGGGCCTGTCATTCTAGTCCCAGAGCAGTGTATTTGGGACCAGAGACCTTAATGGAAAATCCATTCCTTGTGTGGGTAGCAGGGGGTGTGGGTCCCCTCCTACAGTGTAGTCTCATGTAAAATACAGCATGGACCTGTGGGCATCTTTGGAATTCTGATGGGGGGTGCAACAAAATTGCTGCCTTGGGATATGAAACCAACCACAGAATGGCAGCTGTGGTTGGTGGAGGCAGAGAAGAAGTCCAAGAGCATGGGGGAAGAGGGGTAATTTTTAAAAAGATCCCAGGAAAGATATGAGTTCTGGTGGCTGCTGCCTGCCCTAAGCTAAGCCTCCATCTCCAGTACTTTGGTTTGTGTGAGGATGGAGGTAGATTTTTTTTTGGGGGGGGGGGAATATTTCTGCTGAATCTGCCTCCCTTGCTCTTCCAAAATGAACAAAACTACTGCAATAGTGCGAGTCACGATTTGTAATAATAATGATAACTTGTCCTAAGTGTATACAAAATTCCAACAATACAGTAACATTTATTTCCTAAACATTGTGTCTAACAGATCCCTTCATCTGTTAGACACAATGTTTAGGAAATAAATGTTACTGTATTGTTGGAATTTTGTATACACTTAGGACAAGTTATCATTATTATTACAAATTGTTACTTGCACTATTAGGAGCTGCGGTGGCTCAAGTGGTTAAGACGCTGAACTGCAGGCTGTGGAAGGTCGGTAGTTCAGCAGTTCGAGACCCAAGTGTGCCGCATGACGGAGTGAGCTCCCGTCTCTAGTTCCAGCTCCTGCCAACCTAGCAGTTCGAAAGCAAGAAACTGCAAGTAGATAAATAGGTACCACTTCGGTGGGAAGGTGACAGCGTTCCGTGTGCCTTGGTGTTTAGTCATGCCGGCCAAATGGCCACGGAAACGCCTTCGGACAGTGCTGGCTCTTCGGCTTTGAAACGGAGATGAGCACCGCAACCCTAGAGTCGGACTCGACTGGCTTTCGAGCAAGGGAACCTTGACCTTTACCTTTTACTTGCACTATTGCAGTAGTTTTGTTCATTTCGGCTTAAATCATACTGCTAACCCCTTATTCCATTTGTATCCCTTGCTCTTCCAGCATGGCATGCTTTGGGGATCGGCTGGGCCCTCGTTTCAGTTCGGGGGATTCTCTAGTTGGAATTGGAATGGCCGATTTGGCTTTAAGTATTTTGGTTTGTGTGAGGACGGAGGTGGATTCGGGGGGGGAATATTTTTGTGCAAATAAACCACTTGCATTTATTATTCCGTTGTTATTTAGACGTATGAGCATGGCATGGCAGACATATAATGGCAGGCCCCCTGAGAAAAACATTGCCCCCCCCCCCGAGCAAAGCGTTGTTAGCTACGGGGCTGGGTTTAATCCCTGGCCCCTCCCGCTAAAGTGACCAGGGAGGAGGGGGACACAACGTTCCTTTGCCTGAGATCCTGAAGCACAGCTGCCACTCAGATGAGGCAGTGCTGACCTCCATAGACCAACCATCAGGCTCTGTAGAAGGCCACTCTGTGTGTTCAAAAGAGGGATGAACCTGATTTCCCGTGCTGAAGGGACATCACGTGTTTCCCTCCCTGTCCCCACGCCACAACCAGACCAGGAAGAATAAATCATGCAGAGAAATAACTACATCATACAGTTTTCCTTCATTTTCATGGGCTGGAAAACCCACTTTTGTAGAACATGGGGGGAGCGGTGAGAAATGAGAGATAATTACAGTTCTTTCGCTGCAGAGTCTAAACAGTCCCACGAGCATGAGAACCAGGGGTCATTTCCTGCAGGAGCGCACCGGAGCGGAGCTCCGGCAGTAAAGAGCCCAGGGGGCGGGCACATGCAACAAGCCCCGCCCCCTGCTCCCAGCAGCCCTCAGTCAGAGCAAGAAGCAGCCAGATAAGCTGCAGAGCCCGCCCCCCCCAGTCCCAAACAGTCCAGTGGCACCTTTAAGACCAAGTTTTATTCAGGTACAAGCTCTCCCTCCTCTGCGAGGACAGATCTGCACGTTCCCCCCCGCCCAATAGCTAGTGATCCAAAACAGTCCAGTGGAGCCTGAGTGGTGGGTGTTGCCTTCTGACACACTTCTGGTGATGTCAGGGGGTGTGGCACATGCAAATAAGTTATGCCAATGAGTTATGCTAATGAGCTCCTGGACCTCTTTTTCTACAAAATGACCCCTGAATTGAGAACAATCCCTTTTTTGGATGGGGGGGGCGGCGGTGCCTGCTCACGACAACATACCTCAAAGGCTTCCCAGGCCTGCTGGCCTTGTAAATCTCCAACTGGCGGACGAAACTTAGCTCCGCATCGTACAGGACAATGTACCTGGGTTCCACCTCGTGCACGACTCGCGTGAGGGCGTAGGGGTCGCTGCAGCCGCTCAAAGGATGAATAATAGTCAGCGGCTCCTTTAAGACCCCGTAACAAGATTCCGAGGGCAGGTCCAGTGGGAAGTCGCTGGGTCTGGCTTCCCCACTGCTCTCTTGGCCGCTACCAACCTCCTCATAGGAGTCTCGGTCCTCCACGGTATCCTGTTCGCACTTGCCCACCATCTGCGTGAGCGTCAGCTCTCGCTTCCTCTTGCTTTTATTTGGCTTTGAAGACTGCTTTTTGGCCCTTTTCGGCCGAGGTTCTCCAGCATCCCTGCCCCGGTACTCGGCTGCCTTCCCGTCCCTCAGGAACGCTTCGCTGGCTTCCTTGTCCTTTCCAAAGGTTTTGTGGTAGAGTCTCATCAGAAAAGCCTCGGCCCCCGCAACGATATACTCCTTCAGCTGAGCACACGTTCGGTCATCCCCTGCGCAGATCAGCGTCCGTCCTGCGGGTCAGAAACAGAGGCTCTCTTTTACAGGATGGCAAAAATATCGTGGGTCCCCTCCTCCCTCCACCCAGAAAGACAAAAGAACTTTGTTTTTTTAAATCTGGGGGAAGTTAATCTCTCTCTGTTTTTTAATCTAGCTGCTCAAATGAATAAAAAGGTAAAGGTTCCCTTGCTGGAAAGCCAGTCGAGTCCGACTCTAGGGTTGCGGTGCTCATCTCCGTTTCAAAGCTAAAGAGCCAGCGCTGTCCGAAGACGTTTCCGTGGTCATGTGGCCGGCATGACTAAACACCAAGGCGCACGCAACGCTGTTCCCTTCCCACCGAAGTGGTCCCTATTTATCTACTTGCAATTTCTTGCTTTCGAACTGCTAGGTTGGCAGGAGCTGGAACTAGAGACGGGAGCTCACTCCGTCATGTGGCATCTCTGGTCTTGAACTGCTGAACTGCTGACCCTCCACAGCCTGCAGTTCAGCATCTTAACCACTTGAGCCACCGCAGCTCCAGCTCAAATGAATAGAGACAGACATCTGTTGTGCCTTGGGGCACTTTTCTGGTTTTCCCACCTGCTCCTATGGGGCTGAATCCTGCCAGTGATTTCCACAGACAGGAAGGGAGGGTGGAGTTTCCCCTTCCCTTTTTTTGAACCCGGACTCCACCCCATGCGGTTCTTAGGACCTCCCTGTCCGCCCAAAGCAGCACTTTCGCGAGACTGGTAGGCTGCATCAGGAGAGGAAAGGCGGAGAAGTTCCATTCAGCTAATGGAAACGCCTTCTGCCAGCCTTCTGGATGGAACCCCCATCGTTCAACCCGGTGGACAGTTGGCACCCCACACGGTAGACCAACCTCCTGAAACAGCTGCACCACCCTCCAGTGGATATTCCACTTAGCCAGCACAGTTAACAGCCACTGGTGGATCTGTCCTCGAGGAATGGCCTAATCCCTTTCTAAAGACATCGGAGTTAGTGGTTGTCACGACATCCCTCGGCAGTGCGTTCCCACAAGTTGATTATGCACTCTATTTCCCATCCACTTGGCAGTGCGTTCCCACAAGTCAATTATGTACTCTATTTCCCATACAAGCTGTTGGGAGCAATGTTCCCTCTAAGCTGTGGAGCCTTGTGAGCATAAATTCTACGTTGTGAGCTACTGGCATTAAAGTTGTGAGCGAGCGATTTGGCTGCTGCATAAATTAGTTTGCTCTGGAGCCCATCCTTCCTGAGCTAAGACAAAAATGTGTGAGCTGGAGTCTAAAAAACTGTGAGCTAGCTCACACTAACTCAGCTTAGAGGGAACACTGGTTGGGAGTTTTCTATTCTTGCATCCGATGGAATTGAATTTTAACTGTTTTATCTTTTTATACTGTATGCACTATGTGACTTCTGTAAGCAGCCCTGAGCACGTTCGCGGGGAAGGCGGGGTATAAATACAATTAGATAAAAAATAAAATGAATAAAATCCACTTGGCAGTGCATTCCACAAGTCGGTTATGTACTTTATTTCCCATCAACTTTACTGGCGGCCTCCTTGAGTGCTAGTATTTTTGTGGGAAGATGAAAAAGTGCGTCACCAGGAAGTCCTGTTTGAGGATACTGACTTTCAGGGCTATTTTTGGGCAGGAACGCACAGGAACGGAGTTCCAGCTGGCTCCCAAGTTGGCCACGCCCAGCAGGAACTCATGAGCATAATAAGCCACACCCAACAGCAGAAACTCATTAGGATTGGCTACATTAGGGGTGTGGCCTAACATGCAAAGGAGTCCCTGCTACAAAAAAAGGCCCTGGGTTTTGACCACAAACAAGGTAAACAGAATAACAAGCAAAAGGTGGGTGTGGCTGGATGACCACACTTCTGGTAACATGGGGGTGTGGCCTAATGTGCCAATGAGCTGTGCTGTCAGGGGTGTGGCCCAATAGGCTAATGAGTTCCTGCTGTTGGGTGTGGCCTATTATGCTAATGAGTTCCTGCTGGGCTTGTTCTACAAAAAGAGCCCTGCTGACTTTGCTACGGCTGCTTGTGAAAGGGTCACGTTTGTGCAGCAGCAGCAGCAGAAGGCCCTTCCGGCTCAGAGAGGACTGTCTCTCCCCAACAATACAGACACTGGCCCTTTCAGCACAACAATCCTACCCCTTACACAGCCAGTTTCTCTGGCCCTGCCAGAGATCCACATGAACAATCTTAATGTGTGAAGTGAACAAAACCCACTTGGGGAAGGGTGCCGGTTCTCAGGTTAAGGGAAAGATACAGGCTTCGGCAACCCCAAAAAACTCAACTCAACCCAGCCATGAACTCACCAGCTGTAACCTCTCCGTCAGGGCTCTACTGGTAGCAGGAGCTCCTTTGCTTACAGAGCTCTTCTTACTGGGGCTACTGTAAGCTCTTGGGGGATTGGCTAAACTAGGGGTGTGTGGCCTAATATGCAAAGGAGTGCCTGCTACTAGTAGAGCCCTGCGGGCTGTCTGAAGAGTTACTGAGTTAATAATGTGAGCTGCTGTGAGCGGTTAAGAAAATTATATACTCTTTTTTTTAAAAAAACACTGAAATAGCCATTGGCCACTGAGAGAAACTGGGGGAAACAACAGACTTATGCGCGCTCCCCACTATGCCTTCGAAACCAACCACCACCCCCAGCAGTGGTCAAGTACTTCTATGTTCGCCTCCCCGTTCCGCACCTGGCCCACCGAGAGCTTCGCTATTGGCGTTCTCCGTCTCAATCTCCTTGAGCACCTCTCTCAGGGCTTCCCACTTGGGATTGCTTTCCAATATCAATTCCCTTCTCTGCCCTGAAACACAACAGAGAGGAGAAAAGTCAATTTTTGCATGCAGGCTTGCATAATTATCAGCCTTACATGTTTTATGGGAACGATCTTGGGATTGCAAACAACACACAGTTGAAAAGAGAAATGTGGAATGACGTCTGTCGTCTGTTCCCCCCCCCTAAGAATGTGAGTATCTCTGGTGACTTTTAAACGACACAAAGGGATCCGTACAGCAGTTGGACCAGCCTTATTGGGTAGTTTAGCTGCAAAGTACAGGTGGAAAGCAATGCAGTATAGTTGTTGGCACGCCAGATTCCAGTCCTCAGAAAGCCATCAACCTCACTAGGTGACTCTGGGTCAGTTGCACACATTCAGGGTCGTTGTGGAGATAAAACAGAGAAGGGAGAACCAGGTACACCGCTCTGAGCTCCCTGGGTAGATAGAAGCCCATACAAGACTATGGTTTCTGGTTCAGTTTGGAGGCAAGTTCAGATGTGTGAGAACCAGTGTTTTCCAGTTGGGCTATCACAACAAATGGCGGACAATCCACAGCTAAGAACAAACAGAGGGAAGTGGAGCAGAAGGAGAAGAGATTGGATTTATACCCTGCCCTTCACTTGGAGTCTCAGAGCGGCTTACAAACTCCTTTCCCTTCCCCTCCCCACAACAGACACCCTGTGAGGTGGGTGGGCCTGAGAGAACTCTGACAGAAACTGCTCTTTTTCAAGGACAGCTGTGCCAGAGCTTGTGACTGACTCAAGGTCACATCAGCAGGTGCAAGTGGAGGAGTGGGGGAATCAAACCCGGTTCTCCCAGATTAGAGTCCGCGCACTTAACCACTACACCAGACAAAAGGGAAGCACACGGCATGTCCGCAATGGTCCGAGCATGAATTGCCTCTTATGTCCAAATGGGGTAACCATCATTTTTTTTAATGCCAAAGTTTGCTGTACCTTTTTCTTCCCCATCATCTGGTTTTCCAGAAGCTTTTATTTTCTTATTTTCTTTGTTATCTAGAAGACGATAAACTCGGCCCCGAGCATTTAGGAACAGAGAAGTACTAGAATCAAGAAAAAGCCAGCCTAGGGGATGAAGAGAGGTGAAAATATTAGACGTCGTAAATACCTACCAGGTTTCATGGCTCCCACTTCTTTTCTAACTGTTCCACTGAAGCCATGGTGCTCAGACCAAAAAAAGAGCCACCTAAGCTTCATTTCAACTTGCAGTCGTGAGTTGCACAGGTTAGTCGTGTCAATTTCAGCCGTTCTTTGTTCAGTCGATCCTCTAAGGCCCATCAGATTAGAATTCTAGTCCTGTCCATTTAAGTCACACTGATCTTGGCAGATCTAAGAACCCTAAACCTTTTTCTTCCCCATCATCTGGTTTTCCAGAAGCTTTTATTTTCTTATTTTCTTTGTTATCTAGAAGACGATAAACTCGGCCCCGAGCATTTAGGAACAGAGAAGTACTAGAATCAAGAAAAAGCCAGCCTAGGGGATGAAGAAAGGTGAAAATATTAGCCGTTGTAAATACCTACCAGGTTTCATGGCTTCTACTTCTTTTCTAACCGTTCCACTGAAGCCACGGTGCTCAGACCAAAAAAGAGCCACCTAAGCTTCATTTCAAATTGCAGCCGTGAGTTCCACAGGTTAGTCGTTTCAATTTCAGCCGTTCTTTCTTCAGTCTAAGGCCCATCAGATTTGAATTCTAGTCCTGTCCATTTAAGTCACACTGATCTTGGCAGATCTAAGAACCCTAAGCAGGGTCAGCCCTGGTTAGTACTTGAACAGGAGACCCCCAAAGGATCACTACACAGAAGCAAGCGATGGCAAACCACTTCTGAACATCTCTGGCCTTGAAAACTCTACGGGGTTGCCATAAGGGGGCTGCAACTGCTGGACAGCACTTGACACGCACACCATGTGCAGACTGCTCCAAAAGACCTGGTGAAATTAAAAAGTCTCCCACCCCGGCCCCATTTCTGAAAGGAGATATGTGGGGTCTCCAGGAAAGAAAGGCAAAGACAGAGGAAGTTTGGCTTCTGTTTTATGAGGACCTGGCATTAAAAAAAAAAAAGATGGTAAAGCTTCGAAAACCAAAACATGACCTAGTACTCCAGAATGGTTAAGAACAATCTGGCACAAAACGTTAATGAATAAATAAACTTAAGAATTATCATGTATAAATATTTATGGAAGAACAAAAGGATATAAATCTGCATTGCGTATTCAGCACTAGCAACCATTTATTGATTAATGGAACCAGACAAAGTGAACAACGCAGGGGTCATATCCTGCGGGAGCGCACAGGAGCGCAGCTCTGGCAGTAAGGAGCCCAGGGGGTGGGCACATGCAGCAAGCCGTGCCCCCTGCTCCTGGCAGCCCTCAGTCAGGCCATAAGGAGTTTTGACAACAAACAAGGTAAACAGAATAACAAGCAAAAGGTGGGTGTGGCTGGATGACCACACTTCTGGTAACATGGGGGTGTGGCCTAATGTGCTAATGAGCTGTGCTGTCAGGGGTGTGGCCTATTATGCTAATGAGTTCCTGCTGGGCTTTTTCTACAAAAAGAGCCCTGAATTATCATGTATAAATATTTATGGAAGAACAAAAGGATATACATCTGCATTAAGTATTCAGCACTAGCAACCATTTACTGATTAACGGAACCAGGCAAAGAGAACAACGAATGTACAAGAAAGTAACACAGACTTAGATGTGACTGGGACTTTGTTTAATAAAGGTGGGGTTTTGTCTTCTTACAGGAATAAATAAAATAATAATAAGTAACAATAACAATAATAATAATAGAAAAGATGGTACCTTGTGCAGAGTTTCAGGGACCAATTTTAAGTCACGGAAGGGGAGACTACTGTGGACCCTTCAGGGGAGCAGCCCAGCGGGGGCAGGCACAGGAGACGGGCAGACCCGCCTGGCCTAGTGGGAAGGGAGGCAGAGCACCCCGGAGGGGTGGGGAGGAAGGACCACAGCCCGATGGGAGGCGGGACGGCTGCCTTTTAAATGGAGGCATTAGAGACGGGCCGAGGGGGAAGCTGCTGGCCTGCCCAGGCGCGGCGCTAAGGGATGAGCACAACAGGGAGGTGGGAAAACTAGGTGACGCA